AGTGTTTTTAGCAAGGCCTGTTGCCATAGAACAAGGAGTGACGATTTTAAACTACAAGAGGGGAAATTTAGGCTAGAGGGAAGGAAGTCATGTTTTCCCCTGAGGGTGCTGAGCCCCTGGCCCAGGCTGCCCAGAGAGGTGGTCGCTGGCCCATCCCTGGCACCATCCCAGGGGAGGTTGGATGAAGCTCTGAGCACCCTGCTCTAGCTGCAGATGTCCCTGTCCCTGCAGGGGGTTGGACTGGATGACCGTGAAAAGTCCCTTCCCACCCAAACCAGGCTGTGATTCTCTGATGCTATGAATCATTGTCATCCCTCTCTTGGATCCAGCACTGAATAAATCCTCAGCGATCAGGCAGCAGTGCTCTCAGCCGTGGGCTGCTCTGCTGGCCCTCTAGTTAGTGGTAACAACAGATCTGATTTTCTTCTCACTAATATTTTGGGTTTTTTAATAACAATGAGAACTGTATGAAGAAGTCTTTGTATTTGGTCTCTTGTCAGCATTGATCCATGTAGCAGATTTGCTGAGAAATGGCAAACGTGCAGCTTGGCCACGTGCAGGGCCCTGTGGCCAGCAGTGCCCAGCCTTGCAGTGCTCCTCTGCCTCATCCACCCACCCCTGTCAATGCAGAACCTTCCTCAGCTCCTCACTGAGGGGATGGAGGGTGGCCAGAGAAGGGCAACGAAGCTGCTGGGGAAGGGTCTAGAGGCCAAGTGTGGGGAGGAGCAGCTGAGGGAGCTGGGGGTGCTGAGCCTGGAGCAAAGGAGGCTCAGGGGAGACCTTCTGGCTCTGCACAGCTCCTGACAGGAGCCTGGAGCCAGCTGGGGGTTGGGCTCTTCTCTTGAGGAACAAGTTGCACCAGGGGAGGTTGAGGTTGTCCCTGAGGAACAATTTCTTCCCCAAAAGGGTTGTCCAGGGCTGTGCCAGGCTGCCCAGGGCAGTGGTGGAGTCCCCATCCCCAGAGGGAATTAAAAACTCTGTAGGTGTGGTGTGAGGGACACGGGGCAGTGGGGACCTGGGGGAATGGTTGGACTGGATGATCTGAAAGGTCTCTCCCAACAAAACCAGTTCTATGATTCTGTAACCTCTGTCTAGCAGCAGCCACTGAACAGAGACTTGTTTTAGCTGTGATTCAGCACAAACAAACTGTGTGTTCATGGGGGGAGATTCCTAGGTCCAGAGGAAACTTGGGGAGAGGAATGTAAAGAATTTAGATGGGATGACCTTGAGTAGAATCACTCTGAAGTCACTGACAGTCCACTCCAAGTTATTTTCTTCCATCCAAAACCTCAATGAGCTGCTGTTACAAAATTTACTCAGCTCCCCACCATTCACAGGGGTTTTGCTGTGATATTCCCAGTGAAATCTTCCTGTTGCTGTCTGGGGAATGGAAAGAAAAAGGGCTTTTCTTGAGCTGTAAATCCTATTTAGGGTGGGTTTCAGGTTTGCTCTGAAAAGACAATCCTTCCTAACAGTGCCTAAGATAAACCCCATTAAAATCCAAATGTTTTTGTTCTCCACAAATTGGGGCTGTTAGAATCAGAGAAAACAACTTCATCTATGGGACACTGGAGCTTTTTCTTTGAGGAACTGCTAAATTTGGTTCTGCTTTTTAAAAAAAGAAGAGATCCAGAGGGTGGAAGTGATGCTGGAGAGTCCAGCTGTTTTTTTCTTGCAGAGTGAAGGTGCTTGAGGGAGTCCAGTCACTGAAATCTAATTGAGAGGCCTCTTAATTACCTCCTAAACACGTGTTTAATGGGGGTGTCCCTTCAGGGGTGGATGTGGGTGACCTGGGAAAGCCACCACTGCTCCTCACAGGTTCTCTGCACCTTTTCTCCCTGCACAGGCAACGGGCCAAGCTGCTAAAGCAGCCAGGACAGTGGTCATCAGTGGGGTTCCAGATGGCCTTCTGCAGGATGAGGTGATGACTGACCTCCTGGTGATTCACTTCCAGATGGCAAAGAACAACGGGGGAGACGTGGCAGAAGTGATGTACCCAACAAGGCAGAAGGGAGTGGCCTACCTCACTTTTGAAGATCCAGAAGGTGATGACATTCATGTCCTGTTGTACAAAACAGCTGGCCCCCAAAGAACTCGCCCTAGAAACCAAGTGATGTGAAATTATTGACTGCTGGGAGGATTTTATAGAACTGGGGGAGCAGCACCTCTCAATTCAGTCAGAGTTTTAGGAGTTTCTCTCTGTTCAGTAGCTCTGAACGTTGCCTGGTGCAAAGTGTTATGTTTGTTTTGAGGACTAAATTTATTGCAATGAAGTGCTCTGCTGCTGGACTGGCAGTGACACGTTGGCTGAGAATCAGACTTGTTTAGGTTGGAAAACACTTTAAGGTCCTTGTGTCCAACCACTAACCAAACTCTGCCAAGTCTGTTCCTAACCCGTGTCCCTCACACCACATCTCCACAGCTTGGAAACTCCTCCAGGGGTGGGGACTCCACCACGGCCCTGGGCAGCCTGGCACAGCCCTGGACAAACCTTAAAGGGAAGAAATTGTGCATATTGTCCAACCTCAACCTCCCCTGGGGCAACTTGAGGCTGTTTCCTCTTGTCCTGTCCCTTGGGAGCAGAGCCCGACCCTCCCCTGGCTCCAGGCTCCTGGCAGGAGCTGTGCAGAGCCAGCAGGTCTCCCCTGAGCCTCCTTTGCGCCAGGCTCAGCACCCCCAGCTCCCTCAGCTGCTCCTCCCCACACTTGGCCTCTAGACCCTTCCCCAGCGGCTCCGTTGCCCGCCTCTGGCCACGCTCCAGCCCCTCCAGGTCCTTCTGGGAGTGAAGGGCCCAAAACTGACCCCAGGATTCGAGGTGCAGCCTCCCCAGTGCTGACTCCAGGTGGACACTCCCTGCCCTAGTCCTGCTGGCCACACCAGTGCTGCTCCAGGCCAGGATGCTGGTGGCCTCCTTGGCCACCTGGGCACACACTGGCTCATCTCCAGCCAGCTGTCAACCAACCCCCCCAGGTCCTTTTCCCCCAGGCACTTTCCAGGCACTGTCTCCCAGGAAGTGACTGCACAGCAAGTGACTCTGCCTTTCTCCTCAGTTGTAGAGAGTGTCCTGAAGAAGGATGAACATCAACTGGAAGACAAGAGGCTGTCCAGATGCTACCCCCTGAGAGTAACCCCTTACTGTGAGAACGTAAGCATCATTCAGCTGCTTGGGCTTCCTCTGCTCTTTTAACTGCTCTTTAACCTCTCTGATTAAACATTCCAGGTCTTCAGCTCCGTCACCTCTGTCCTCAACATGTCTGTTTTCCAAGATCAGTTTGTTTTAGAAGACCTGGTGCAGGAAATCAAACAGAAGAGCACAGCTTTGACCTTTGGGCCTTTGCAACCCAACGGGCATCTTGCAGTTCAAGGCTCCTTTCCAGCCATCCAGCTGCTAAGAGACTTTCTCTTACTGAAAGCCAAATCCCTCTCAGAGGAGGTCCACAGAGAGGAGAGCGAGTCCCACCAGAGAGCAAGGAGGAGGCTCCAGCCACACAGAGCCACCTCAGCAAGGAGTGATGTTCATGGTGGCCAGACAGAAGTGGTGGTTATTGACACAGATGTCTACCACTACCTGAAGTCCCTTTTCCCCAGGGCACTGCTGGGAGATGGGGACGTTGTCATCTCTGAGGTCACTGCTGGTGACACCACGGTGCTGTCTGTGGAGGCTGCTGGAGGGAGGGGGGATGCTGGACAGGTACTCAGAGTCAAGGAGAAGCTTGAAAAGCTGTGTGTCAAACTCCATCATGAGCTGTGTAAAGAGAGGATCTGCTTGGAGAGGCACAGCAAGGAAGAGAAGGAGAGGTACCAAGGGGTGTGTGAGCATCTGCAGCCTCACTACCCTTCCATTTTGGTCCTTCCTTATGATACTCACATGGATGTTATTGGAGATTCCTCTGAGGTTTTTCAGTTTACAAAGAAAGTGAGGAAGAAGATTCAGAGCCTGGGTCTGAGTGGGTAGAGAGCTCGTGGTGATGCTGTTTAGATGCTGTGCCTCCCACCCAGCCTGTCCTGGGGAGTCTGCCTGGGAGGGTAGAGAGCCTTTCCTCCTCCAGGTACCCAATTTAGGTCAGAACAGGAAGGAGATGATCTCATGAGCTTAGAGCCTGAAGAAATGAAGCTTCTCCTGTGCACATAGAGCCACCTTCTTTTGAGAGCTGCATTTGGGGTGCTGACACACGAATCCTGTCCTGCTGTCCCAGGGGGAGAGAAGAGGATCCTTTTAAAGGGTTCTCATTAGAATAACCAGTCAGACAGAGCTGGGTGAGCCAGCCTGGTGTGAAACACTCAGCATTGGGGCTGAGGGGTGTTTGTGGGAGGAGAGGACCACTGAAAATGGGAAGAGTGGCCCCTTTATTATTCAGAAGGAAGAGATCCTTCTGTCTTTGAGAGGCAGGAGGAAGGTGGAGCTTTGACACTTGAGGGGACCCAATTTGTGTTACATTTCCAGGCTTGCCATGGCCTGAGGAAGACCTTACAAGATGGGACTGGAAGCTCTTGACAGCAGGAAATAAGTGAGTTTGGTTTTTGTAGGAGCAATAACATGTTACTTAGACACAAAAAATCAAGCCAGAGTTTTGCTGTGAAAATCTTGGGGCATTTAGACTTTGGAAGCAGAATCTGTTGACACAAACCTGTTCCTCTACCCATCACAAGGGGCCACGTGCTCCTCCTGATTTAGGCTTTTTAGAAAATAACTCATTTTCAGAATATGTTGTGAAAACACACTAGTGCTTTTATCTTCTACACAGGGAAGGTTTTATGCCATTAAAGAAATGAGTTCCACAAACTGTTGTGTCTGTGTTCTTCTGAGCAACCCCCAGACCTTGGGTTGGAAGCCTGAGAAATGCTTCAGGAATTTTCTTCTCATGGTTGATGATCCATTGCAATTAGGCCAACAAAAGTTGTTCAACTGGTGCCAGGGAAGGTGAGGAGCTGAAGAACCTTTGGGGGTTGGAAGGTGTTGGGGGAGCAGGATTTAAAGGCTTCATCTCTTCCAAGTTCTGCAGTCACTAGGTTCACTGAGGAGGTTGGAGAGGGGTGCCCAGCCCTTTATCTACTCCCTGAGGTGCACAGACCACTCCCCAGGGCTCTTTTGGGTGTTCCCTGTAGAGCTTAAACAAGGTTAAGAAGTTTTTCAACCATAGAAAAGAGAAAATCCTCTCAGAAGGCTAATCCTTTAATGAAATTAGTGCTTTCTTTTGCTCTCCAGATAGCTCCTCCCTCCTCTCTCCTGAAGAGCCTGATTTTTCCCTCATTCACAGCATTCCTATTTCCCCTTCATGAGGGCTGAGCTCCTAAACCAGTGGCACTGGGGTCTGTTTGGACCTTGACTGGTCACTACTGGCCGAGCGTCGCTGTGTGGCTCACGTTGGACAACACAACAGCTCTCAGCACGTCCAGGACTCCTCCAGGTCCTGCTGCCTGGCAACCAAATCCTTCTTCCTCGACCCTTTTCAGGCAAAACCTTAAAATCTTGATGACATCACAGTTGAACAACGTTTCATTGTCCAATCTTGGCTGGGCAAACGCCCCTTTGCCCCCCATGTCCTTGGCAGGGCTGGCTGGGCCCCTTCTCACCCCCACTGTCCTCTTGTTTCCTGGGGCTCTCCCATCTGCTGGCTCTGCTCTCACAGCCAGGACCTCCTTTCTGTAGACAAAAAGAGCTTTGCTTTGGTTGTTTGGTTGATGGAGTGTTGAAAGAGGGAGCTGGGCCAGGGTGGGTGAGTAAAGAGCAGCTCTTGTGGGCTTGATTTTCATTTCTATGCTACTTTTTTGGGGGGTATTGGGCAGGAACAACCCAGCTTTGTCACCTTTGGGGGTTCCTTGTGGCTGTGGAAGGGCAGGACACTGCAGGGTCTTTACTGGTGACAGCCTGTCTGCAGCTAGAGCAGGGTGCTCAGAGCTCCATCAAGCCTGACCCCTGTATGTCTCCAGGGGTGGGACCTCCACCACCTCTCTGGGCAGCCTGGGCCAGGGTCTCACCACTCTCATAGTCAACAAATTCTTCCTAATGTCTCATCTAAATCTCCCCTGCTTGAGTTTAAAACCACTGCTCCTCATCCTATCTCTGCAAGCCCTTGTGAACAGCCCTGCCCCAGCTTTCCTCTAGGTCCCTTCAGGTACTGGAAGGCCACCAAAAGGTCTTCTTGGAGCCTTCTCCAGGCTGAACATCCCCAACTCTCAACCTGTCCTCATAGGAGAGGTGCTCCAAATCATGATTAGGTCTGGAAAGAGACTTCCCAGCTCCATGTCCTCCCAGTTATCTCTACAGCAAGCAGAGATGGAAACTGTCCCTGCTGACTCCATCTTCTCAGTGTCACCTTTCCACTTGTCATCTGAGCAGAGAATTTGCTCATGGGACCTCTGCAGAATATTTGTCCCTCCTGCTGTGCTGGTGCTTTGACAGAAGGGGAGCAGTGAGGGCTGTGAAAATACAAAACCTGGTTTTCCACTTGAGGATAACTAGTGGGGAAGCCTAAAATAGATAAAAAAAATCATTTAAAAGGTCACCCAGAGCAGCAGAATGTGAGCTCAGCACCTTGCTGTGGTCAGTGGGGTAAGCACCACCTCCAGTCCCCTGAAATCCCAAAGATTTGGGTGCTGATGGGACATCTCTTAGCAGGAAAATATCAATTTGGAGGCAAAACCAATCTCCTCGTTGGCTGGAGGGGATGAGGGAGGTGGATGGAGGAAGGATGATTGACTGGAGCCCAAAAACCCAGCTCTGGAGCAGCACAGGGAGGCCAAAACCTCCCCCCTCCTTGTACCTGTGCACCAAATCATCCAATATCAATGCCAATTCAATTCCTGCAGGGAGGAGGTTGCTCCATTAGGGAAATAAAAAAACCCCAACCAACCTTCCTGCAGATTTAATTGCCATCCAAACTGTCTCTGCCACCTTCCAGTGGCATTGAAACTTCCCAAAACGTGCCCTACCAAAGTCCTGTCACCTCTCCTGAGGAGTGCAGCACCAGAGGGACATTTTCTTGAGGAAAAGTGCTGCTTTGGGGAGCCACAGGTCCTGTTTTGTACAAAAAAACCCCACAAACCAGTGCCTAGGAAAAAATAAATAGTGTTATTAGCAAATAACTCCTTCTTTAAGACCATTTTTAGGCTTCGTGTGGAGACTGGGAAGAACCAAAGTGAGTCAGCACCACCAGGGAGATGAATTTCCCAGGTCTCTGTGTATCTGGAGGAGCCAAGGCTGCAGTTTGGCTCTTGGGAGGCTCCCAAAAAACCACACACACATTCCTGTTTTGTTGCACATGATGGGTGTGTAGGGCTGTGAAGTTTCCATCCAATTTTATTCCAAATAATTCAGTTTTCCTCTTTGGGCTTCTACCTGCTGCAGTGGCTGGGGGAAGGACCTTTTCCATCCCTCTCTTCTCAATGAAGTGTGGTGAAGTTGCCATTTTCACACCTTTTTCAGCTTCATTTCTCATCTTCCCTGATTTCTGCAGCAGGCTGCCTGTGGATAACCAGAAAACTTGGCTAAGAGAAAAAATAAAAACCCAGAAAATATTAATTATGATACTAAAAAAATACCCCCAAACTGAAAAATCAAGTCAAAACTCCACAACAATCCAGAGCCTGGTCTGGGGGTAGTTAATTTTTCCTTAGCTGCAGAATGTCTGCTGGAGAACAAGTCCCTGCTTTGCTTTCCTTCATCTCCTGATGCTCATTAATGACTTTTAAAGACATCTCCTAAGAGTTAAGAAGAAATCCTACCTCTGGAGCACTGCATTAGAGCTGGTTTTCAGGTGGATTTCCTTTGCTCCTTGCTGCTACCACCTTAGAAACATAGAATCACAGATTTTTTTAGGCTTTAAGACATCTTCAAGATCATCAGGTCCGACTGTTCCCCCAGCACTGCCCACGAGCCCACCACTTTTGTGGTGTATGGCTCAGCACCTGCTACACAGCATCTTTTACCCCTAAAAAAAGCTGTCCAAAACTCCTGGAGGAACCAAATTCTATGTTTGTGCAGGTGAAATGATTTTGTACTCCTGAAATTTCAGAGGAGGACACGTTTCTCCTGGCCACCAAGGGCCGTGCAGATGGCAGCGCTGTCACTTGGGCCAAACGAGGAGGAAGAAGGGTGGATCTTCTCCAAGGTGGAAGTCACAACTCATCCCCCGTGGAGCTGTGAGCAGCAGGGTGTGGGCAGCACATATGGAGCTGCACACCCTGATGTTCCCTGGCAAGCTGAAGGGTACCAAAAAAAACGGAGGTGGGTTTGGATATTGGGTCAGATCTTGGCTAACAGCTACTGAGGTGATCTTCTCGGGCTGGACAGCAGGAGATGAGCAGGGAGGCATCTCTCTCAGTGGGTTCCACCGGGCAGATTTTGTCCCATCCGACTTCTCCTGCCATGAGCAGGAGGAGCACAAGAGGGAGCCAGAAGCTTTGGAGCTGAAAGTCTCTGCTGGGGTCCTGCCTGGCTTGGAAACCCCTCCAGGGATGGGGACTCCACCACTGCCCTGGGCAGCCTGGCACAGCCCTGGGCAACCCTCAAGGGCAAGAAATTGTTCCTCAGCTCCAACCTCAACCCCAACCTCAACCTTCATTTCGTTTTGTTCTGTCCCTTGTTCCTTGGGAGCAGAGCCTGACCCCCCCCTGGCTCCAGCCTCCTGTCAGGAGCTGTGCAGAGCCAGGTCTCCCCTCAGAGCAGGTCCTGCTCTGTCCTTAGCTTGTGGAAGTGGAGTTTAGGTCATCTTTACCTGGAGCAGATGAGCTATGGGGATGACCTCCCCATTCCCTCCACCCTGAGGCAGAAGGAAGCCTGGGTGAAAAGCAATGGCTCTGCTCTCTGGAGGTGATGCTCTCCACCATCCCTCAGAGGTGAGGACCTGCTGTGCTCAGCTCCCAACCTCCCTGCACTGCTCTTGGGCTCCTGGTTTGTGCAGATCTCACCAAGCATTAGGGGCTTTGGAGGAGATTCCACCAGCTGGCAGCCAC